TGTTTTAGTGCGAAGCGGAGAAGAGCCTTTAGTAGGCACACAAACACACTGGATCATGTTTTACCAATGAGTTACAGAAATCGCGCAGAAATCACCGCTCTAATGTGTGGACAGAACCCCTATCCGGTATCCTTATGAAGGACAAGCTTCAGTGGTTATGCCACCCACGGTCCCTCTCTCGCCTCACTTGACAAATAACTTAAAGCCCCCCGTGGAACTGAATGCTTTTTTTACCCAGCCATTATTGAGGGAGCGAGAGAGGAAGGGAGGAAAGGCGCCTTGTTAATTCACTTCATTTCAAAAGGACTTAACTGAAAAACTCAATGGAGGAAAGATATTAGTTTAGGACAACTAATATCTTACACGGAACCACTAAGCACCAAAATCGTAAAAACTGAAACTTGTAGTTTGGGATGGGTAAAATTCGAATGGGACAGACGCAAATTGTTGTCGCTAAGAATATGAGTATTTGTAACTGCTCATCGGTAGAACACCTGAAATGTGTGCACCCACAATTCACCGCTTTAGAAATGAGAAAAAAACAGTGACGAGTTAACTTTCGCAAGGACTTCTGGGATCGTTACTGAGGGTGCGCCGATCAGCTATTGGCTAATTTTTCCCTTGTCCCCAGTATTTGTTCCAGAAGTCTTTGCGAAAGTTAACTTAGCCTGCGAGCAAGCTCTCCTATTTGGGCGAGTGAAACGAGTCTCGCGAGAACGCGCGAGCGAGCAGCGAAGCTTCGCTTGCCCAAATAGGAGAGCTTGCTTGCAGGTTAAAGTTAACTCGGTCCAGTTTCCTTCTCGTTTCTCAAGTGGCGAATGGAGACTGAGCCTATTGTTGCCCCGGTGTTACAGTGACATAGGCACCCTCGCATTTTGGGCATCCCTATTCCCCTGAAATCCTAGTGATCCAGTGATGTGCGTATCCCCTCTAACCCTAACCCGAAAGCAAATCGCTTAGGTAATATGAGAAGAGGATGCCCATATCACTAGGGTTTTGGGAATGAGGACGCCCATATCACTGTAAGAGCGAATTGTTTTTGACTAACCGATTGTACAGTTAATGACAGGGCATATTAGTAAAGAAAACAACGTAGTCATTATATTATGGAAGTCAAACCAGTCAAAGAACAAACTCAGTTACTTTCGCACATGGTAATGACAGTTACACATTTTATTTTATCGTACCCACACAATTTTAATTGGCGGGTGTAAGAAATCTGTTGTGTTTTACTGAGTCACATTTCTCGTATATCTTTCACCTTTTAAGCCCCAAAACCCACAAACCAATTCTCGATACTGATCTGCATTTTCCCGTAGCTGATCATTTTCTTTATTCTCCCAACCTTTTCTCTTCGTTATGTATCGGTATTGCTGGGAGAAAATTGATGTTGGTCACTCACGGGGACTCAACATGCAATACTGCCGCCTGTTTAAAAAAATAGCTGTTACTTCGAACAACGTAATAACTACAGATTCCTTTCTTGATCTTTAAACTTCTAATTAGCTTTACTTCAGTCTTTGAAGTTCACTTATAGGCTGGGACGATCTAGATGAATAGAACTATGAATTTACACTACATTTACACAACACTTAAAAAGTATGTTTAGGCATATTATCTTAAGGGAAAAAAACAAACAAACAAATACACAACCATTAACTTAACATTTTAATTAAGTCCCGCCTAAATGAACCGACTGAAATTCAAATTCAGGTACTATTCAAAATTCTATTACTCGACATCCAGGGCGAAAAATATGCGTTTCGAGTGATTAACAGTTAAAATTTCACTGCCAAAAGCATAATGAAACCATTTATCATTAATTCAAAAGAATACTTGCGAAGTGAATGCTTTATGACTGAATTGTCGAGAACATGGACATTTCTGAATTTAACATCAATAACGCGGCTGTTTATAAGACAGCCTGACTTGTTGTACCCCCACAGTCAACCCTTTAAGCCCAACTTCCTTAAAGAATTGTTTTAAAGAATTTGATAAAAGACCAAAGTATTTACCCGATGGCTAACATTGTATTAACCCTCAAAACTTTTTCAATTGATTAGCTACTAATGATGTTTACTTTTCGGAAAAGTATTGTTGTTAGTCGCTCTTGGAACTTAAATGTAAAAGGGTAACCCATTTTAGAACTAAAATAATCAATAATCAATTTTCAGAGTTTCAAATAAGCTTGGTAAACAAACTTTACTTAGTTTGTCACGCAACGCTCCTACAAGGACATAACGTCACGTAATGACAGCCGGGGAAACTATGGCAAGTGCATACGATATTGTTGTAAGGTAAAATATCTGTTCTTTAACAACGTACAAACCCATGAATAATCCCTACTGCTTGAGCAGGTAAGCCAACCAAAATCCCCATTACATTTTACATGTTGTGAAATAAATTATCTACTGAGTAATACCCTATTTCTAGATTTGCCGTTTTCCTTAAGAACAGTCACGCAACCTATTAGGTGAAGCAGGGAAAACGTAGCGTGACCACCAGAATATTCCGTTTTAAATTATTACAACTAATAAGTTAATTTATTCTTTACATGCGCTCTCGTCTCTGGTCATACCCCAGTAAAAGGGTGAAAACTAAATTAATATATAACTCTTGGAAGTCTCAGCACATTGTTGGTACTGCACTCCAGCGCGAGAGCACCTTAACGTGACATTTACACTTCTTATTTTAAATATTATCTTAAATTATTTACTGTCCAGCCAAGAGAGCGCGATCTTGTAAATTCAAATTTTTGCTTTAGAGTTTGTTTCGCCTACTGAATTTCCACTTACTAAAAAGAGCAAGGGCCAAGGACAGACTTTGGAACATAACGACATTACTTGTATTCACGGCACCACAATGATACAAAACGATTCTGCTTTCCAATTAAAAACGTTTTGAAGTGAACCTTGTTGTGCTGAAGCAACACAAAAGGTTTACACTTCAAAACACTTTCGTGCGGAAACAGTTTGTTTGTCCAAACCGCTCTCTTGAAACGCGTGTGTACGCAGAGCTATGTCATTCATTGCTGAATGATCTATAGATTATTTGTATCAGAGATCCCAGCTGAACAAGTGGTGTTTTACCAACATGTCTCGTACGCCATCCTTCATAGGCTGGGTAACCTGTGAAAAAGTGAAAACAACGGAAAGTTAGTAGCCTGTGAGCAGGCTCACGGTTTTGTTCTGGGTTTTGCGTTGGCTTCGCGCGTGGAGTTTACGAATTGACTCCAAAATGGTTTCGCCGTTCGCTGGGTGCTCGCACGTGCTTGCAGACTACTCCTCTTTTAGGCCTGAGCCAGTTTGCGATGCAAACTTGCAAACTGTTACTGATCCTTGTTTATTTAGAAACCTGACTCAGGCTGTCGTTATCGAAGAGCAAGTGTTGACCGAGGTGACTGATCAGCCTATTTTACTCTCGCAAACCCAAGGAGTTAAAAGATATACTTTCACCGAAGTTGTTGATTTTCGTGTCAGAAAAATCATTACCGTTGCGCAAAGCGATTTGTTACCTCGAAAGCGGCGGTATTAACTTTCTACAATTAGACATTAAAAATAAACTGAATCCACTTACCTCCTTAAGATCCCGCAAGCAATAACCGGAAAAAGAGAAAGAAAATAACATTTCATCGTGAGAAAACGTTAGAATATACTGAAAATAAATATTCATTCATAACAGAACCCTTCACTAAAATTCCACGACCAACAGTTATTCAGTTCTTATACAAAAAAAATAAACCATTCTTGTTCCCAGGGCCTTGTTAATGTTCAATCTGGCAGCAAGAAGCAGAAACGCCTACTCTAGGAATTGCTGGAAAACTAGTGAAAACAAAGAGGAACAAAAACGCTTGTCCTCCACTGGAAAGAGCTTTCAGGATCGTCAGTTCATGCATATCACTTGGCAGTCAGTACACGCCAGAGGTTTTCTCCTCTCACGCTATTTGAGGGAGAAAGTCCAGGTGAATGGGGTCTTGTTGGTATATTGAATTCAATAAAAAGAGTTAATGAATGAAATGAAACTTAAACTCAGAGCAGTCCCTCATCTTCTTTAACTCTTTAAACCCTAAGATCAAAATCTGAATTCGCATTTGTTGGCCCTATTCATTTCCTACAAAAGTACTGGGGAGAAGTTGATAAAATATCAGTCCGTGATTCTCATGACCACTCCGTTTTACAAAGCATTGCTATTACAAGGAGAAATTTGATGCTGATTAGGACTTAAAGGGTTAAGGATATTAGAGCGACACGTGTAGGGAAGACGGGAACTATTCTACAACATTCTAATCCAAACTATTCAATAAACTCTTAAGATAGATAGAAAGATAGATTATTAAAGAAAAATAAAACAACAATGGGCGATATTTAACAAATGATTTAGCAGCTGTAGGAAAACTACTGGCAGCCAGTTAGTGTTTACAGGAATAAATAGAAGAGAACAAGTTGTGTTTAAAAACGTAATTGTTAAGTAGAAGGATCGACTTCAAAGGTTGAATTACAAAGGCCACGATAAAAACGTGGCGTGGACCCGAGGAGGACCCATTCTGGTCCAAACAAAACAGAGGAAAGCATCTGCATGTATGATACACCAGTGCTCCTTAATACTTGGATGCTTCGAGAGAAGGCGGTGCTACACAATACGCAAATGTTTTTTTGCATTCCTAAGTTGCTTTGATTTTTAGTTTTGTTCGTTTTTTCCTAACTGTTAACCAAGGATTTTTCTGGGTAAGGGATGATACTGCTCTTTTATATACGCTAAATATATTCAGTGGTCATGGTCTGATGATGAATTCAGTTTTTGGACTCCATTGTTCTCCAAAGATGAGCATTGCTCTAGGCTACTTCAAGAGTATTACTCGAATCATCTTACGTAGTCTTTTCCGTAATCTAGCACGGGGAAACTTGAATGACAAGGACAAACGTGCAAAAAACCGCGAAAGGTGTCGCAAAAGTACGACATAAATTATACATCTTCCACTTAAAAACACCTCTTTATAGTGTCTAGTAAGTGAAATATTTGCTGTACAAAGCCAAATGTAGACAATAAAACCAATATCTAACCTGGAACTTCTTTTGACTGACGTACCCATCTACAACCTGCTATGAAACACACAGTTTAATATTTAAGCCTTACTACCCTTACAGCCATAAGATATGCAAAGTATCTCAAGGAAAACATCTTTACAATATCACGTGGGAATGACGCAGATATCATGCATGCTCTGCCTATCCACACCGACTCTGAACAATTCTCTATCATAAAAACAAGCAACAGTAAACCCTTGTCTTTAGCAAAACAAAAGTTAATTGCCCCTTCCCAACACCAATTAAACACAAAATCCTTATAAGGCGAGCACTTTTAACATATAAACTAGCATGTGTTCTTGAATGCAAAGCCAGACGGTTATAACAAAGTAGCGAGCATCTGTAACTCCTTGTCTTTAACCAAAAAAAATTAATTTTTGCTTTGCCAACCCATTCATATTACACACAAACTCCTTATAAGGTGAGCATTCTAAACATTTCAGTAAATTAAACTAATAGGTGTTTCTTGAATGTAAGGCCAGACGGTTATACCAAACTAGCGAGCACTGGCGTGTAATGCAGACACAGCGCAAGAGAAAAGAAACACAAATCGGGTCCCTTGTAGAAGTGTAAGTTATCAGCGGACTAAAAGAAATCAGTTAAAAAGACACTGTTATTCACTAGATACGCGGTAGTGAGAGCTAGTTAGTCACGAGAGAAAGTATTAGTAAGAACAATGTTTCATTTCTCCCACCCCTTAAAAGCCCTTGCACTGGGAGCTTGTTTGATGGACATTTATTGACCAGTAAGGTATACAGTCAGAATACTCCTCCACTTCTCGTCTTTTCCCTTATACAAGAAACATTTTCCCCGCTTATCCCGGGAATTCTCAGATACTTACAGTCTTGCGTTCCCCAGTCAGCTCCCAGTCGATGTTGAGATTGAAAGCAAAGGAAGCGAGAGTTCTGAAGGACGAACGAAATGTCATTGAAAATCGATAAAGAACACCATTTCACATTTTATAACAAATCTATCTCGAGTCATTTTACTTTTCAGCGTATCGTGTCCGATTGCTTGGGCTTACTGAACTTTGCAATCAGGGCAGTGAATTCTGTTCTTACCAACGGGTGGGTGAACTTTTCGGAGGAATTCAAATTACAGAAGTACTGCAAGACAGATTGCTTCAACTCCTGATAAATTCATGCGGATGGACAACGATTTTTTCTGATCTGACGCACGCATATGAGGTTTTAGGGTTCGTTCCAGCTAAAAAGGGACTCATCAAGTCTTATTACTTATAGGTGAAGGTTTTTACCTGAGTTCACACTTAATTTGTACCCATCCTGGACTTCTAAGAAATGACCATGGATGGTACCTAGAATTCACGAGAAGAAGATAGCACTTTGTAAAGTTATCCAAGTAAGTTCGTCACGCAACAGCGGCGCAAGACAAAGTCATTTATACTTTGCATTTTTTTTTTCACTTCTTAGTGCCATTAGGGCCAGCGAATACCAGCAAGGAGTAATCCACCAGCCACGTAACATAGGAAAGGATGAATCAACACTACTAGCCTGTTTACCAGGAGGTGGGGACCCCAGGTAGGTGAGATAACCCGCTTAGGTGAGGTAACCCACCTGTCCATATAATCTCTCATTTTAATTTGATCACGTTTACATGATAGGTGGGGTAACCCGCCACATGTTACCTCACCTACCTGGGGTTCCCCACCTCCATTTAAACAGGCTCTAAGAGGATGTTACAACAAACGCAAAAAGGTAGCGGTGTTTAAAATTGAATATCGACGGTACTGAGCCTGTCCACAGTCTTTTTTCAAGGAATTTATAACTGTGACTCCCATCCCCTTGCGCAAGCGATCTATAACCCCTCCCCCACCCCCATCGACACCCCCCTTCCCCCACCGCGGTTAAAAGAGCTCACACAACAGGTAAGTATCCATCTCGTTTAACATGTCACGATCAAAGCTACAGAAGGGGAGGAATCAATGTTACGTACCACTTTCCAACGATATCTTCACATGCACATAGCGTTTCCAGCCAGAGATGAAGGCATTGTTCGCTATTAAAAAGATTGAAACAATAATAATTGAAATTCAACCATCTTGCCTTGTCTCAAAACACTTGTGGCACAACTTTAGGTCGAACCGTCAAAAGCTAAGGTATTGAAGGCAAACTATATAAACAGCCGAAGAAGTACATAGTAGTTCACTTACTTTAGACCGTAGCATATAAGGGAGCGAAACTGAAAAAAAAAAGAGCGGTATAAGTCACGCAATTGAGAATGTAGATAGATAGCAGCCTCCCCGCAGACGTCCCTTGGGGTTCGTTCGTCACGCATTCATTTCTCCCCCACGTGACGAACGAACCCCAAAGGACGCCTGCGGGGAGGCTAGATAGATAGATGCAGTGTTTGAAAGTTTTTTCTCATCAGTGATGAGCTTACCTTGATATCCATTTGTGAATTTGCAGCATCATGACTCATGTTTATTGACTGAACCGCCTAAAATACGAATTAAATACATAGTAAGCTTCCTTATTTCGTAAGGTTGACATCAGCGCCTGCATCCCCCAGTTTATCTGCAACTTAAATCCCATTTACGGTAAAATTTCCCGTCAGCAGCGAATACCCGAAAAACGACCATCTAGAGGTCACAATAAAGGTGCTGGTCGTTTAAGAGACTGAATCATGCACAGGGGGTCTCTTCCAAGAAGACGTCCGAACAAATCTACTTTAAGAAAGAGTAAGCTACGATATGTGTAGTTTCTACGTTGAAACTAAACCTTCTCTGTATACTCTGAGTAGCGTGTAAGATTCAGGGAACGTTGCGTTGTAGAGATCAGACCCTGCATCACGTGATCGCTTTCGAGAGGACAGGACAAGAGAGGTTCCAACCGAAGTGATTTGACTAGGAGAATTTTGGTGTTTTGGACTGGTGGTCGCTTTGAGGAGGTGGTCGCCAATGAGAGGTGGTCGCAATTGAAGGTTTGACTCTATTAAAGAGAGAAAACCGGTCCCGAGTAGGAGTAAGCTGCTATCAGGTGGGTTTTTTTTCACGAAAGACATGGTAGGGAGGGCATAACTGTTCACAAATGTAGTTACAACTATCACTCGGTGTGGACTTGCACACATTTTAAGCACCCTACTGAAGAACAGTAATTTCATTTACATATTTGTGTCCCCTTAGAAGGCATAAGATACATTCAGAACAATACAACTTAACAGATCAATCCAAATAATCTTAATTCACTTACTCTGTACAGAATTTCTTCTGGTGACAGAACTTTGCCGTCTTCGTCCAATCTGCCAAAAAACAAAATCACATCACTTCAACGCCGCCTATGTCACTAACTGAAAACACATCTTTCCCATGTATTCGCCACGCTAAAAATTCATCATTACATTTCTAATATTCCATAAATTTCTACCTAAGATTTAAGGAACATCTAGCCTTGGTATAACACACAACAAGAACAAAAACAACAAAAACAACTTAATCACGCACAGACCGCATGATTAACAGCAGATGGTTCTGCAGCCAACTCAAATTTGAAACATTTAAAAACGAAATATCGTCAAGTCACAGGCTAATCTGTAAACGTCACGTTTCACATACTGTCGTTAAATCAAAGAGATTTAACGCTAAAAAAGGGATACGGAGAGAATAAACGAAAAAAATCTGTTAAAGGAGTAACAACCATAAATAAGAGTTTAAGAAGCACAACTCGTTTTCAATGTACTATTTTCTAATCTCTTTCACATTAAGATTTAAAACGAAGCAGCTCAAAAAGACATTTTTTCACAAACTGAAAGAGGAGCAATTGCTGCGGATACAAAGGAAAAATGGAGAGCTTTGACAAACTACTGAAAAACAATAGGAGAAACAATGATATTAAACTGAAAGAACAAAAACAAAAAGGATCTAAAGGAGTCACAGCTATAAAGCTGCAAGTTATCCACGAAAATGATAGCGCGGCATAAATGTTTCACCATGCAAAGGAGTAGAGAAGATGGATAACAGTACACTGATAGAGTTGTTTGCTCACATTCTGCACAGTTTCACGCAAGATGTTTCAAATCAATACACTATTGATGAATCTGAATTCACAGCTGCAGAATCATTTGGTTACAGTCCTCTGGAAAGCACGGGACGAGAGTGGTACCGTCATCCTGTTGATGAACTTATTTACCAAGAATACAGCGTCAGGGAAGCCGTAAGTTCGGACTATCTAACATCTAGGTGTGTTAACGTAAGTGTCAGTGATGCTTGTTCCACAGAGAATAACGAAGAAAGAGAGGAGATTCAGCAAGACAGAGACTGCAGAGGTATGGCTTGGAAACGACTGAGACCATCAGCTCTTCGTACAGTCTGGAACTCAATGTCCACTGGAGCTTCAATCTCGCTGTTCAGTGCTACCATTGTTGGTATCATATACATGCTATTTTCGTACATATCTTACAATACCATCTTACAATGTCGATTTTCCGTGATGAGATTATTTCCAATACGAGTACAGTGGGTGAGAACGCTTGCCGATTTGTGTGCCAACGCAATCTACTATACTTTTTCTTTTGTTACGCTTTTACTCCTCTTTCGCCCTTACCAGATGAAAGGTGTGAAAAGAAAACTCTTCACCATATGCAGCTTGGTGTACTGCTTGGATGGACTGTATCGTGTGGCTTTGCAAATGCGAGGGACGCCTTACTACATCAAAGTCTACTATCGGGTTCCAACGTATGTCTTCTATATCATTAACGTCTCTTTACAGCTTTACGCGCTAGCGGGACACTTCAACATGCGATCAGGAAAAATGGTGGCTAGTCTGATTGGTAAAGTGACAGTTCCAACATGCGTATCTTTCGCGGCCGCCTTTCTCATAACTAAATACGTTTATCCAGCGTATAATCGCCACACGAAAGAGGGCAAAATATTAATCGCGCTCTTCACTCCCTGTTTTGGAGTCGCTCTCAAAGCAATCTCGAGAATTTGTGTTCAACGTTTATGGAAAATCACTCATCCGGGATATTCCTACGTCATACTGGCGCCTTTGTATTTGGGAACAGCGGTTATGAGTCGGGTGTTACAACTGGACCTTGATCGTTTGCAATCCATCGCTTTTCTAGGAGTAATACACGGCGTGGCAGAAGTCATTGAACGAAGCACCATGGTTTTCATTGATCACATTTGTCATATGTTGTGGAAAAGAAGATCCGCTCCTTGGGGAAGTTTTCGTACTCCTCGTCGTGAAAGACTGACGGCTGATATAGCTATCATGAGTATGTTGTTTGAATCAACTGCCATAGTGTCTGTGAACGGATTTTTATGTTGGTATCAATTCGTTTACCTGAAGAATCATTCTGTTAAAAGTCTATTACAGAAATTCGCCGTCGCTACCTCGGTGCCGTTAGTGATAGAGTGGTTTTTCACTAGTGTGTCGCTAGCGATCGAAACGCACTATCAAAACATGGCTGTCATGGCGGTATGGCGAAGAAGGTGGAAGCGCCACATTTTAGTGGCCATTGTAAACGCCGTTCCAGTAGCTATCTGGACCAGTGCAAACCTTATAGTGGTTGTTTATGGGCGGTTTAATGTCACCCCAAAGCAGCCTTGCAAAATGCCCTTCAGTTAGCTTTTGTCGATGTGATTCTAGAATGGTCAAGAACATCTCCGCTTTACTTACCTAAATGTCTTGCATAGCACTAGGCGAGAATATACTGACTGGAAATCCCGGTCAACTTCTCGTTGGCTGGCCTGAAACAGTATAATTAAATAAATAACGATTTGGACGTAGCACATGTATCCACTTTAAAAGCGGTTCTTCGTCTACCTGATTTCTGGTTGAATTGGAATTCAGAAATGTTTGTTTGTAAGGAGAGGCGAAAACCGGAGTACCTGGAGAAAAACCTCTCGGAGCAAACGAGAAAGCCAAAACCAAACTTAACCCAAATATGGAGTCGACGCCCCGATTTGAACCCGCGCCACACTGGTAGGAGGCGAGTGCTCTCACCACCGCACTCTCACCGTTGCTCCCCACAGAATATTTACGAGGATGACGAAATTTAGAGCATACGTCATCAGAGATCTTAGGGGAACACGAAATCAGTAACTAAAGCTAAAAAAGCTCTCCTTTTTCCTACAACTTTCGTTTGTTTGTCATTTCATCCTGAATGTCAGTAGCCTACTTACGATTACAGTTTTATCATTGGGACGGATTAGAGCTGTTCCGAGTTGACGGTTGCAGACATTCACAAATTTCGGCGCTTTAAGTTCGGTTCTGCAATGTAATGTTGACCTGCGTTCTTGGATTTAAAACTCTCACGTGTTTCGCCGCACTTGACGTCAGCAACATGCAGTCGTTCCAAGTCCTGATTAGCCTGTTTACAGACCCTCTATTTTCTCTTTAGAGACCGTCGAGTACGCGTATAAAAATGAAAACCGCGGGGGATTTATTCACCGCAAGCGCAAGGGGGTGAGGGTGGGTCTGTAGACAGGCTAAATCCTGATTGGTTTACTGGATTCTCTAAGTGTCCCCTGATTGGTCAGATAAATTATTTAGGATTTCGTCGCCGCTTTCCCGCGTTAACAACATGCTCACCTCTTCTAAAAACAACCATGGATGACAAGGGCCACCAAGGATGGAAGGCTTTCTCATTCCGTGTAAGAAGATTGACTTCAGGGATGGACACAATCTAAACGGTAAAAATAGAGAGTAAGAGTTAAAAGAACGCTGTGGTTAGATTAAAGTGCAGGACCAATTTCGCCGTTATGTTCAGTGTTCAGTACCTTTACGTCCTTGGGCCCCTCCGCACTAGGAAATTTATACTTACTCGGAAAATTTTGAAGTCAACATTTGCGGCTTACCATAGTGCAGATGTCATTTGAATTCATCACAGAATTTTGTCGAAGCTTGCACACGTTGGAAAGCATTGACCGGTCTCAGGGAAGATGTTACTAAAATGGGGAACAGGAAAATGAAAAATGGGAAAAAACCTAACTCGAACCCTAGCCCTATCAGTAACTTCATTTCCAATTCTATGCTTGGTTCTCATTTTTCATTCTCCCGTTCCCCATGTTCATTCCCCAATCCCCGTTGCTTGTTTTGAGTACCACCCCAGTCACGGATCCCTCGATATTGTAAAAAAAACAAACAAACAAACAAAACGAACACAACAGAAACATTAATCATGCAATTTTAAACGCGGATCTGGTGCGGCAGAGTGTAGATATTTGTAAGCAGTAGTTTAGGTATTCATTTAGTACTTTAAATGATATGCACGTTTCCATTTATGCGCGGCAGCATTTCCGGGTGATCTGTTCATGATTATTAGTACAGACAAACAAATTTTTATCATTATCGTACTAAAGGACGCTTTGTTAAAGTTCACTCCAATTTATGCCAAATTTCATTTTGGTAAACAACGATTAAATCGAAGAGCATCAGCATCATTGCTCACCCTCCTCTGACGAGATCTGTTACAGTTTCGGATACAGAATCGTCTCCTGCAGATGAGTACTGAGAAAAAAAAACAGGTAAATTAATCATTATTACGGCTGAACCTCTATCAGGCAGCCACCCTCGGCGGGGTCCCACAAGTGGAGGCTTAATGGCAGTTGGCCGCTAATGAGAGGTTCGTCATAAATTAGGACAATCTTAAGCAGAACAATCACTTCGTTTCGAAACAAACACACTACCTCTTTACTTCGCTCATCCAAAATCTCGACAAATTTGGCAGGAAACCAACCTGGAATTAATTACGAACTCAGTTAAAAATTCAAATTGAGAAATCATAACCAAAGAAGTAACTTAACAAAAATATAAAGATCGTTTTCACTTACGAGGCCAGCAGCTATGCAAATTTACTGGAACTAAAGAAAGTTTTTACAAAAGAAAAAGGCAAGGCTAACAGGCTACAGGCTGCGGAAGGGTACTGAAAACCAATACCAGCCAGATTAAAATATTCTTCATCAGTTACGCGCTGTCAGCTGCTAATAATTAATAAACTAATTTCAACTGCTTTGTTTGTTCTCATAAATTCTCCACTTCAGAAACTCCAAGGAGAATAAGTACAAGCTTTGAGTGCAGTGATTTCTGGGATTGTATGGTGGGCAAGTGTTAATTATGATTGGTCAAAGGTATTCACGAGAAACCATTGACCAATCATAACTAAGGATCCCAGAAATCGTTGCAGCGAAAGCTTGTACCCATTCCCCTTAAAGTTTCTGGAGAGGGGAATAAGCAGATTACACGATGACGTCATTTGACTACAAATATCAGCAACATTTCGCTTCCCTGCACAAATTACGGCTTTTTAAACCTTAGAATGTTCAGCTCACCTCTCAATCCGTTAAGTTCACCCACCCAACAGTGTTCGTCCTTCTGTGAAATTATCTACAACACAAATAACAAATCTAAGATTCAAATAGTGCGCTTATACTGTTCAGTAACCAGCAAGCGCCAACTAGCGGCGAGGGCCTGAAGATTTAAAAAAATACCCAAATCACCAGACTGGTGTGTAAGTATGGAGGACAACCAAAACCTGGTTGATATAGGGATGGAGGCAAACGCCAGAAAAACGGTCTCATTCTCAGGGAAAACGCGTTATCGGAAGCGCTTGGTGCCTTTTTCTAAGCGGCCTCGCCGTGGCGGTTCTTAACGGTCCTTACCATGAGACATTTTTAGATTACAGGACGAGGACGAAATTTGACTTGCAGTTTTTTCGTGGATTCACAAAAAAATAGACATCCCGCTTCAAGCTTCATGTACTTTTGTTCACCAGAAAAGTTAGCACGGTTACTTTTTATTAAAGGAGGTTAAGCCCTCTCCCGAGCACAAAATGATGAAACTTCTAACATTTAATAACTCGTTTCCGCCACTACGACACTCTCGCTAAAAACAGTTGTAGAAAGACGCCGGCTATCACTTTTTCCCGCCAAAATGACGCCGGTTCACACGCGAGCGCTACTTAGTATTGAGAAAATCTCCTCGTTCTCGTAGTCGCACTAGTCTTAGAATCTAAATCTTTTAAATCTAAAATCTAAGTCTCTCAAACTATTAGAAATGACGGCGGTGACTTAAGGCTAGTGCAAAAATCAGCTCTAGATTGCACGTTGTTCTCTTACAGTGATGATATCATTTTTCCTAAATCCAAGTTCATCGTCATCGTGTCTTTCAAAGTCCAACAAAGCCTTGGCTCTTCTTCGACGATTCCTGATGAGAGAAAAGCAAAATTTAATAAAAGTAGTTCAAAGCCGTCCCTTTCATCCTAATTGTGGCATCCCTCGTCGGCAGGGTGATAGTTCGAGACCTACAACCTACAATACTCGTTACGTTTTGTTGAAACACACGAAAAAGCTAAGGATATTTCACGTCACACCTTCTCAACCAATTCCTCTACGGTAAAAATCCGCGTGTAAGAACCTACATTTTTGAAGTCTGACAGAAAAGGTTGTTATATTTTTGGGTAGTCATTAGCAATTTAGGTTAAGTAGGATCTTAATCAGGTTCTTAGTTAAAAACTTGACAAGGATTGTAAGCGATGATGACCCAATGAGTGAAATAGGCCATTTCCGAGTTCCCCCCGGGCCTCTGTATCAAAACGAGGTTAAGTGCTACGCCTATGATATGGAAATGATTTTTCATTCTCATGCAAATGAAACTCATTTCCACAAGTAGGGTTGTGCACTTGGCCTCATTTTGAAAGTGAGTTTCAGTGGAACTCGTTAACGTGTATGATGAACTAGTATCAACTCCAGAACACCATTACCGGAGCTGACATTCCTGTCCAACAAGATTGCCAAACACGTTGCTCTCACCTTGCTACATTGATAAATCTCTCATGGTCTTTTGCATGACTCTCCATTGAATAGTCAACTTCCAGGCCCTAAAAAGAAGTTATAGTAAGCTAAAAATAGAGTAATCGAGAATCTTAGATACCAGTTGTTCTTTTACTATAGACCTTGTCACGGTTTTCGACACCACCTTGACGAGTAGGCAAACGCGTAAGAAATTACAGTGATTGTATCAGAGTCTAATGTCGAATAATTTCCGTAGAACGGCTGTTCTGAAATAAATATGATAAATAAAGTAAAGCTTCACTCCTAAGGACACCCCTGAAAAAATTTGAGGGCGTTACATAAACTAGAAGACCTAGAACCACTTTTTAAAATTTTCTATACATTATGAAAACTACTGGGTGACCAGTAATCAATGTCTTTACCCTCGTTAAATAAAGTTATTATTATTATTATTATTATTGTCTGTAAGAAAGTCCCGGGAAAATTACATACAAATATATGGAAAATCTAAAGCAAGCCTGTGGAGAAATTTAAGCACAGGTACGGCCCCAAATGTTTTTAGGACAATCCTTTGCTTTGCAGCTTTAGTTTACAATTGATATTTTTTTCAGAACAGCCCTTTTACGGAAATTATTCGACATTAGATTCTCATACAAACACTGTAATTTCTCACACGTTTGCCTACTCGTCAAGATGGCGTCGAAAACCGTGACAAGATCTATTGCAATCAATTCGAGAGATCTGAAGTACCTTGTAAACAAAATCTAACCGTACTACTATTTAAATTTCCAACTATCACACTTAATAGCACAGTCAATGATCGAGGCCAAAAGTGTTGTGTTAATTTAAGTCTGTCGGTGAAATCCAGTCTTATTACCTACTCAATGATTCCCCTTTGGGCAACACTTTCGTTTAAATTTTTTTATTTTTTGTGGGCTCTTAGCCGGGAAAAATTTGTCCAGTAACACATAGCCAAGAATAACACGCCTCTGTAACAAGCAAGTGACGACTTTCACAATTTCTAAGGCGCAAATTCAGGCCGTTGATACCTCCTAAGTTGCGTGGCAATACAAGTAACACCTGCGTGAGATACTAAATTAGCGAAAATCTTTCAACACGGCCGAAAGAACGTCTTAAAATTAGTTTAACTGCCAAGTTTAAAAGTGATTTGTTGAAAACTATCGAAGATAGAGCTCTGCAACTAAAAGTTGAGGAATTTTCCAGACGTTTGTATGAGCAAGTTAATGCCCCCACAATACAAACGCCTGTTGGAATTTCGCGACTTGGGGAGCAATATCTTAGATCTCTTTGGACGTACATGTATCACCTTTAAAATTGGTAAGTTACCTTAATTTTAGGCCCTCTTTCCAGTAGTGTTGATGGATATTTGCTTACTGCTCTTTACCAAAAGTTGAAATCAAAAAAACGTGGAAGAGTCTGTTCTGAGAGATGCTAAAGGTTGACTTCCACTGATGCGTTTTTGGCTACGCACGTTAACACACGTAAATTCTAATCACGTTAATAAATTTGAGGCAAGATATAAATTGATGAGATTAAACGTGAAGTTGAGCGAGGTTCTACTTTTACGCTTATGTGCGACCTTTCATACATTGCCTCTATTTTATTTCCGAACGTAAATTTTACGCACGCACGCACGCACGCACGCACGCACGCACGTAAAACTTACGCGACCGTGGAAATCAACCCTAAGAGGCTAGCCAGGAAGGCTACGGGAACCAAATCTTCTTAAACACGAACACTGAAAAGATTAAGTCACCTTTTTAGGATCAATGGCATCGAAGTGTTTGGCTATCTGAAGGATGGCTTCTCTTAGATCAGCCACAAGCTCTGCAAACACCAGAAAGAAAACAAGACTTAGTACGACGCAGGAGAGTGGGTCGTCCCCAGTGTAATTGGATGAGGAGGCAGTCCACACCACAAAACGTGAAGCGTACGTGTCCAGGGATCCCAACACATCACAGGCTCGCTCTTAACATTGCAAGTTTGATTTTCGTGTTCTCTTTAGAAATAAAGTAACGTAAATTGGCAAAAATCCGTGCGACTATTACGTATTCTTAGCGTGTGTGCAGAAAAATGCACTATGTTGTAAATTTTTGTTTGCGTGCCCGCGTACTGAGTAATAAATCATCTATCTGTGTAAATTTATGTTGTTAACTCGTTCCAATTTTCAGTTTGAGAACTGAGGAGCATTATGAAACTTGTGCAGAACCACATATAACTTAAGATTGCCTTGGAAACAGAAGAAATTTTTTCGAGTGTTGCACACAAAAAATTGTCTAGTTATATTTTCTGCATATTTAGGTGAACTGGAAGTAATACATAAGTCCTTGATATCTGTACTTTCGGTGACACATGCATGAGTGGGGTTATTACTGAATACCATTAAAAGAAAGAAAGAAAACGTATTTTCATTATTTCTTTTTAACTGGAACCCCATAACATCTTATTACCGACCTGTTTGCCTGATGTTTTTCGCCTTTTGTAAGGAGATACCGCCCTTGCCTGTAAGAACAAAAAGGAAAGATAAACGCTTCACAACCAACTGTGCCAAAACACAGTATTTTTCAATAACCATAAATTAAACAATGTCAACAGACTAAAAGTTTACTGTAGTTGGTCTGTGGGTGTATATGAACTCAGTTTCGTTCTTCTGGTGTCTGTTATCACTTCACAAATATGGACTGGTTGGATTATAGTAAGCTTGTAAAGAACTGTTAGCGGCAGTCAGTGGTACCCTATATGCTGATATCCGAGCTTACTGCAATTTATACACTATATAATGTCAGTAGGACAGGTATTGGTATTGTAGCCTGGGTAGCAAGCGTTTCCAATCGAGTTATTTCGCGAAAGTTGCGGAAGCACGTGCTACGTAGGCAATCATTGGTACAGTGGAACCTCTCCTTTGGAACACCTCTAATCAAGGGACACCTCCATTCAGGGCACACAGAACTTGGAAAAATGTTGTCATAAACTTTGTATTTGTTACCTCTATTGAAGGGACTCCTCTATTCAGGGGAAAGGAACACTTTTTCTGGGTGTCGAAACCTGGGTTTAACCTTCATTCAGCGGACACTTTAGAACTTAAAACGTGACTGACCATAAAAAGGGTTGATAAGTTTAAGTGTACTCTAGTCATAATGATGTCAGATTTCACATTATGAACTATCTCACTCTGTTAAATTGATGTACTGCACTTGTACATATTGCTAAGATATAGATATAAATCATGATTTCCTTATACATTATCTAGCTGCTTGAAAATAATGAACCAGATTCCGAGGCAGAATGATAAAAAATATTTTCTTTGTTTTTGCTAATTATTAACAAACTCCAGCCCAACCTCTACTCAGGGGACACGTGCCTTAGTCCCGATGGTGTCCCCTGAGTGGAGGTTTCACAGCATTGTTGTCAGTTCATATGAAACAGTTTTCTCATTTTTCTCACGTACAATACTGTTCCATGACCGATAAGGGGAAAGGATTTTTATGCTCATAGCAACTTAGCCACGCTAGACTACGAGTAGTCCCCCACGCAAAAATCACCTCACGCGAGAAAAGACCCCGCGTGTCGCCTTTTCTCGCGTGGGGTGATTTAGTAGTCTTTAGCCACGCCGGTTGTGGAGATGGAATATATATGCTATTGCAAGAACTGCTTTGTTGACAAATCCCACCCTAGTAAGGGCGAGATCGATCGAAGGTCAACACACTCTAGCTCCAACGCTGTGTTTTGCGTAGGTTGTCAAAGAAGGTGCGATCAGATTACGAGTTGTAGAAGGTCAAAACGCGCATCAGCTCAGATTGCATTCTATGCATTCCATTCATTCTTAGTTCTGGTCCAAACGAATGATGGCTACATACGTAGATTGGGAGATTAGGATTGGGGGTTCCTCTGGTCGCTCGCAAAAAGAATGTGAAGTAAAGTATATAACAGACACACGGTGACATTTGCACCCAGGGTGCTGGCCTTAACGAAGATGAACTTCATATGAGGAAGGAATGTGTGCACAGCAAACATCAAAATAACAAGAAACCATTTTATACAACTCTATATGTCTACGTTAACTCAGCGTGGCAAAACAGTGAAAAACAATCACGATCAAGAAATAAAAGTTACACACCAAAGAATAAACTGAAGAAAGTTCGTGGCGGTGCAACAATGACCCTTTTCTGAAGCCGCTGTGTAAAGAGAGAACAAAACAGCATAAACTTCACTTACTACACTTTTATGTCCCTACGGGCAGTATGTCAACAATCTTAGACAAAAAGTGTTGACAATTTTGCAGTTTCTTACCCACAGAGCGCCTAGCCCGCGGGTTTGGTACCGTACGACCCCTCCCTTCATCACACCCATTGTTCAGTCAGGGTCAATAATAATCCAACCGGACTTTGGAGTGGAAGGGAGGAGGGGGAGGATTTGCAGTTGCCAGTGCTTTAAAGAGCTTTACCTTGACACTTCAATTCATAAGGCAACGTCCATTTTTCTGAACATTTTTTACCAAGACTGTAGCTAGGAAGACATGTTATTCACATTCTTACATCTCTAGGCATTTGCTTTCCAGTTTCCTTATCAACAAGTACGCCAAGATCAGCCATAAGGAAGGCCATGTGCTTCTTACGGTGTGTCTCGAGTATTACATCAGTCAGTGAAGCAGATGCTTTGCTTGCAGCCTGAGGGAAAAGACAAATTGTGGTCATGAGGTTTTACTGAATGAGCTTGTTTACTGGCAAGATGAATTTTCAGCAAAACTGTTGAAAAAAATAAGCTTGAATGTGCATATTTTAAATGCGCCATTTTCTCAAGTAGTTTTGTCTAACATTTTGGAAAAACGAAATGTGTAGACTGCGAGCAGTTTCTTATTTTCTTCAGTCACTGGGGTAGCACGGGCGAGCGGCGACGCACTTTTCATCCACAACGAGAAACGAGAGAGTAAGCCCAAGGAGAAAGAAAAATAAGTCGCGAGCCGCGAAAAACGAGGATGTAGGCTCGCCCACGTCCCTTTCTCTCCCTACCCGCCCAGACTAAGAACTCGATGGATCTAAGCGAAAAGGCGGACTGCAAGCGGTCTACGAAATATGGAAAAGGTCTCAAGAAACGCTGGGGATTGACTTATTAACTAATGGTACATAATAGCCTGCCAGAAAACTCTCCATTTGGGGGAGTCGCGAGAAGTCACGCGACAGCAGCACGCGAAAGGAGACGCGACTGCGACAATGGAGAGCTTTCGCGCAAGCTATGTACATGTACATACCTCAAGTAGTTCATCGGCATCAGTGATCTCGCCAGGTATATCTGATAGTAGATTGAATATCTGTGCTGAATTGTCCAACTTTAAGATCATATCTTCCTGGAAACCATGATAATGAAGACAAAGTCAAAGAGACACCAGGCAACAAACCATAATTTAGCACAAACGGGATGGAAAATATAGATAAATGTAAACTTTTGTGTTGTAAGTGTAACAATAGTGAGAGCTTTTTCTGTAGCATTACTACCACTGTTTATCTTTTATATTTTTTTGCCACTTGACCCTTTTATTTTGTGGCTCACATATCTAATTCATAAAATAGCTGATCAATAATGAAAATGACGAGTACAGTTGAACCTCAATAATATAACAACGCTCTACACAACAAAAGATTTTCTTTACCCCAGTAATAGTAAAATCTATGGAAAAGAACCTTGATATAACCTAAACGAAACTTATGGTTAGAACAAAATTTAATTTCTTCATTCACATAATCTCTAATACATGCACTGAAAAAACTGAGTTTACATTAATATTATACCTTCATTTTAAGCATTCCAAGTGTCATCCTGAACAATGTCACTGAACCCTCATAAAAGAATATGTCCCATATTCTTAACAGGATCTGCGCATACAACAACAACAAAAAAGTTTCTTTCAAACACTACCTTTCTCCAAGTAACTGGATTATACTGGAAAGTACTTAAGTCTTACTGCCTCAGTTAACACTGAACTCTGTTCGCACAACCCTCAACCCTTCAGCCCTTACACCAGTCAAAATCTTCATTAACTTTTTATTACAAAACTGTATTAATTCAGTTTTACTGTTTGATGTTTCATCAAGATCAAGGCAGTAACAACAAACACAGCAACAACAAAACTTTAAACCTTGGCGGAAAGACACACAACTGAGGGTTAACTGTTTCAAATAAATATTATTACATAAAGACAGAGTTAAGGAAACTATAAAGTTAGCGGTTTGAGAGAAAAATCAGTTGAAACTTTAAAGACCTAATTAATTATTTAGCCAGTCCAACTTTTTGTATGATGATAGGTGTTGTAGTCATCGTAGGTAACCAGTTATTCTATATTCAAGTGCACCTAACAGGAAAATTAATTTTGTGGCCGTATGTTGAGGAGAAGATGCTCTGTGATCACTCTCAAGAAATAAAAGGTTGCAAGTACCGGGGGGGGGTTAGTTGAGTCAATTTTTGCTGGGTTTGTGCCACTGGCCTCTCAGAGCCCCTACCCCATTTCTATCTATTCTATGGCCAATTATTGACCCTAATCATGTCAGTCAATCTTTATACCTTGGTGTGTACAACACTGGCAAATGCTGTCAGAAACCAATGAAGTGTGATTAGCGAGAGCTCAATATCATGCTCTTTTAACTTTTCATCCATTGGTGGAAGATAGCTGACAATCAGCTGCCGCAAAACCCTCTGATCAGCCTAAAGTGAATGGTTTGATAAAATCAGAGCAGTCAAATTTAATTTCGATGCATACTAAAGAACTACTCACAAACAAAACTTCCTCACATGTAACCATGCATTGCATTGATCAGTAACAAGTCAGTTAAGAAACAGCATGCATGGAATGTGCTGGAATGTTTACAGGACTGTCATCAAGATTTTAAGTAGCTGGTTTCTCACTGGTAAGTAGCCAGTCATTCAGGGTTCTCCAGAAGCTCGTGACCAGCTAAAATCACAATGTAGTTGATAAAGGTGCAAGCTTCGCACAGAAAATAAATAAATAATTAATTAATTATCTCACTAGGTTAGTAAAGGTGTCATCCTCATGGCTAAATATTAGTTATAATCCACTTTTAATTTCAGAAACTCCAAAATAAAGATTTTACCAGAGGAGGCCCTCAGAACTCCCCCAATGAAAGGGGGGGTAGCCCCTTGCCTACACCTACCTCTACACACAGTCCTGCCATGCGCATTTCTATCTAGTCAGTTGCCACCTACTTAATGTTTTTCTCCTTCTACATCAAATTTTCTGGAGAACCCTGGTCATTTATCCCTCATGAATCCTCCTGCGTTTATTACGTTTGAATCATTTCAAAACTTACAGTAGCCAGCTGATTTTAGTTGCAGTTATAGTGGAACCTCGATATAACAACGTTCTACATATTTAACGAAGCCTTCAGTTAAATGAACAATTTTCTTTACCTCAGTAATTATAGTAAAACATATGGAAAAAGGACCTCGATATCACAAAACCTAGTTATAGCTCACACTTTTTGCCAGCCCCTTTACCCTTTGTTATATTGAGGTTCCACTGTACAGACTGAACCAGCCAGATGCAAGGCTGTCACTAATATTTCAAGTTGCCGGTTATGTATACAGAGCTGGATCCTTGACCTCCTTATCTAAGGGTCTGGATGACCCCTTGGGGGTCATCCAGACCCTTAGATAAGGAGGGCCCCTCCCCTCGATCCCCACTGTGTATATGCAGTTAGTAGGCAGTGAACTGAATGGCTAGGAAGTTCTTTTGGTAGTGTTTTCTTTTTGTTTCCTATATGAAAGTAGCCGGGGGAAATCCCTGACCCCGTGTCTTTAGAGACAACCCTGCAGATGCCAGCTACTAATGGTATCCCCGTTTTTAAAGCTGCTTTAGTACCTGTACACCAATCAAAGTGTTGGAATAATATGATGTAGGAACAAGATCTTCCACAACTGTACACATCAACCAAAACGCATCTTCCTCTTCAATAAACAGAAGCAGAGAGGCTACAACCTGCAAATTAAATTATAGGGGAAAAAAAACAATCAACATTCCTTATACAAAAACATGTAAATTTAAAGTGAAATGCAGCTTTAGATATTTGAGAGAAAAAAATCTAATTACAACCACCTAAACTGCTTGAATAAGCACCCAGCTTAAAATGCATGCCCCTCTTTGAATTCTTAAAATCTAGGAAACATATAAAAACCATACTTCCTTCTACAATGTGATAAACACATGTTACACCGACCTCTCCCACAAAAGAATAAACTGCATATTACACTAATTTTCCACGACAGTAGAGGGAGTGAATTTGTCTCCCCTTTGGTCTCTCTCCTTATATTATTTTTTGCTTGCTTTAGCAGGAATCCAAGGAAAAAAGTGACTATCCATAGTTTGGATATTATGATTATTATTTTATGTCACAGTGCATGTTTATATATATATAATAATTATGTGTACATAAAACAATGTAACATACAAGAACCATAATCAGCACTCATAAAATAATTTTTATACCCTGAGATCTGCTTTATAGAAAGTTAAATACATGTGTAAGCACCCATGGAGCTAATTCAGGCATTTTAGGCTAACCTGAATGCCATTTTGTTTCTAATCAGAAGACAATTTCCTTCGTTTTGACTTACCATGCCCATTCCCTGACAATATCCAATATCAGTGTACAGCCAGGCAAGAGATCTGAGGATCCTTCTGAGACGTAACAAACCAGTGCTTGCTTGTGTGGAAAAGCATGCATTGTTGGGCATGGTTCTCATAAGATCCTAAACATGTACAGTGCAATTTATTACAAGTAAAGAATATTTTATAGTTTAATATTATTGAACAAGGCAAGATGATGAAGGGCTGACAAAAAAGCAGAGAGGTCATAAGCTCAAGGGAGGCTTATATTGCAGTCTAAACTATATGACTGTATAGTACTGTCCAATGCAACAAGCCTTTCAGAACAAGTGAGAGGGGACAGTCAAAGCAACAATAAATGCAACTGTGAACTCCTAATAAACTTGATTCTTCTGCCTAAATATTACAAAGTACCTTTTCAATCTGCTTAGCAATCAAGGAATTTTCATCGCCACTTGCTCTAACAATTTGCTAATCAAAGACAAATAATTATATTAATCAATATTATTGAATATTAATTATATCAATGCATGGTAAATTGCTAAGAAGGCAAAACCACTTTCACACATGTATGATAACAAAACTACATCTTACCTTGTAAGTAAAATCACTGCTTATTTTCTTCTGTAAAGCTCCTGAAATTCTCATCCAGATCTACATGTTTGATAAGTAAAATTACAAACAGTTAAAAAATAACTCACTGACACTTTGCATATACATTGTATCTGACTGTACTTTAAATACTTATACCCTAAATTATTCTAAAATCCAGTTATTACCTAAGTTAAACCTTCTGCATGATACAATGTCTACTTTCCTAACTTAAAAAGGTTGGTTTCAACAAGTGTGAAATCACAACATTACATAAGATCACAAGCCCCTGGCTGTTGAATGGTAACAGGCACCAAGTCAGTACTCACTGGAGCTCTCATACTGTGGGGAATTCCAAGATATACAAGCTCTCTCAGCTTGTCCGAGTGAGGAAAGCTAGGGGATACCTGTTAATAAAAACCACATACTGATTAATCAAAAGTTAAAAGATGCTTGCTGTCTTAAAATGTAAACAGAAAACTGATCAAAAGAAATAAATGTTTAAGAGTGCTGCATATCCACTACTGATGTACTACCTTGTCCCACGTCATATCACCAACATCTTGATTCTGTGTGAACTCTAAGAACGCTGTCCATTTTAGCCTCAATCCTTCATCCTCACTGGTCACAAAATTACCAGGATCAGGGTCTTTATGTTCAAATTCTGAATCTACAAAAAATATCATTTCGGTATACAATTATAATTATGAACTTTATAATATTGCTTGTTTTGTTTCACAGGAATGAAAGGACTGTTACATGTATAAAGTACAGTAGATCTCATATAACTAACAGTTACATGTATATTGTCTAAGGTAAAGATATTTTTAAATAGCAAAGCACAACAGTGTATATGTTACAGGTCAAAATTAAATTCAGGTTAAAATTTTTTAACCTAGGTTGATTCTCAGTTTTCTCTGTTTCCTAATCTTAATTCATGAATAATTAGGACTAGGAGACAAAGGGAATTGAGAATCAAGCTAGGTTAAAAATTTTAACCTGAATTTAATTTTGACCTGTAACATATATAACTTAAGCTAATAGAACGTTGAGTTTTACAAGTGTAGTATTACTTTTTAGGTTTTTGTTGAAGGATGGTGAAATACTTGCTACTTAATTTCACCATTTCAGTGTCACTGGGTTGATTATCAAAAGATTTTTGTAACAACCCATATCATCCATGAGGACAAGTTAGATGTATATCCACAATTTTATTTGAATCCTATACTTGCCTGTTGCATACATGTAAGTTCTTAAGCTTATCAGCATTATTAAGAGCCCCTGAAAAGTTTTGGATTTAAATGTTATTTACCTCCTTCAACCATGAATCCAAATTCATCATAATGACCAGTTGGACGATCCCCTGCATCCTCCGTCTGGCAAATAAAAATTATTAACGCAGATACTAAAAATTAGTCTCTGTATACTGTCGTATAATAACACAGTGGCATATACAAGTCATGTAGGAAAAATTAATCATTGCCCAGAGAATGTTTGGCCACAGCTTATTTACAGTCATTTTTAATGTTCATTCAAAATATTTAAAATTCCCCATTGAGCCTGATTACAGTCTTCAGGCTAATGAATCGGTCCCAAGCCTCTTTTTCAAAGTGAGGCTTAGTGTGAAGCTATTGATGTGAAAATGAATTTTAATTCTCATGCAAAGAAAACTCATTTTCACAAGAAAGGTCTTGCAATTATAGCTTCGTTTTGAAAGTGAAAAATGCGGAAGTGGCCTATTCTTCATAACCAGCTGGCACTCAGATGCAATGGAAGCAATAATTTATATTATTAAAAACTGAATCATTGGATAATGCAATTCTAGCATTTTGATTGGCTTAGCCGTTATGGTATATGAGCTATTATATCATGCTCTCCGTATATGGTCGGTGTACGCATCAGTTTAAAAATTGGAAGCTAGCTGAGATTTTTTTTCGCGAAGGATAGAACGGCGCACGAAGCAAATCATTTTAATTCATTTCTTAGAATACTAGAAATGCAATTTCATCGAAAGAAAAAAGACAAAAACAAACAAAAAAGCCACAAGAGCTTGTTTGAAAGTTTGTCGAAAAACACATGAAAACACATGGAACTAAAGTACCTTGACCAGCTACAAAAGAAGACAAGTGTTGTTTCTTCATGATCTCAAAGCCATTCGCCGATTGAGTCACTCGCCGATAGGTAACTGCGGCTTGTTTATCCGACATCACGAATATAAATCACATGTAACCAGCTACAAATACAGGCTATGCAGCCATTCACTAGAGCAATCGAGGTGGCAGTATAGCTTCTTTTCTCGTTCAGCAAATCCAGCTTGTGGCTTCAAACAACTTCATAACAAGCGACTAAGGTGATAGTTTTTCTCCATTGTTCTTACTTTTATAACTGCACCAAAAATCCATATTCACAGTAATTTCGACGGCTGTCACTTAAAAATTCTTTTCCTTCACATTATCTGCCAGGTTTCTTAGCTGTTCTCCTGTGTAAAATCCTAGAATCCCGATGAGTTTTTAAAAAACTAATGTTCATCGCTACAATGTTTTGATTTTTCATTCATGCAGTCCAGGCGAGTCCGTTCGCCGCGTTGACAGTTTTGATAGACGTGTGACATGTGAATAGCGGAAGTCCCTTGTCTTTTCCGGTTTGTTCTAGTCGGGGAGATTCAACGAGATTTTGTGGGCGTTTTTGATAAAACAATTATTCCACTCGCGCTTGTTGGATATGAGATGATTATAGCCAACTCATATCCAATGCGCCCTTGTGGAATAATTGTTAACTATTGATAGGGTGAAACATGTTATCTCTATCTATTAATACCAACTATTGAACAAGGCTGAGCTGATGAGAAGAATTATGAAGCTCAAAAAGAATGGCCAGTATGGAATAACTTAATAACCCTTATTAATGTAAACTTTATAATTATCTGGTACCGTTTTTGTTTCTGTTTGACAGTTTGTTTTTTTCTTTTATGTTGTTCTATTTATCTTAATTTTATTTATTTTTTATCACTTTTTTTTCCCTAAATTTATGATATTTTTCCTCTCCTTCTCTTGTGTGCTCCAACTCTATAAAATGTAATTTAACAATATTATTGTTTAAGTGCTCAGCTTGTTAGCTCTTTTTGCTATTCTGAGTAGTTTTTTGCCTGATCTATTTCAATTTATGCTGTTCTTGTAAATGTTTCAAGTTGTCAAAATAAAATGGTTGGTTGTTGTTGTTGTTGTAATACTATCCATCAAAGCCAACGACTGGGGTGTATAACAGCCTCTGAGAAATGAGGTTGATTGATGGGATACCAAAAAAAACAAACTGGCCTGGAAAAGAGGCTGCTTGGGCAATTCACCATCAAATCGATGGTATATTGCTCACATCTTCAAAATATGATAAGCGCCAGTTGGTTATGAAGAATGTTCATTTAGCCAGCAGCAATTATTGAAGCCAATCAGAAAAGACAAAATATTTTGAATGAATAATAGATATTAAAAAGATAAGAAAAGCGTTATTGCACCCTCAACTACGTGTATCCTGTCTGTATATACCTGTTGAATTCTTGAAAGAATGTCCTGTGGCCACATGCTGGGAGTGAGGGCAGAAAAAGGACCTCCAATGGCTGGAACAAATGATCCACTAACTGGAGTGCTGCCACTTGCAACATGTATAGATGAATCATCCCATGCCAAGGTGTTATCATGGCCACCATCCTCGTCTTCATCTTCACTCAGGGTGGGAGCTGCACATAAAATAATAATACACTTTAATTCAGTGAAACAGAATTATAAAAAACACTAGGGTCAACTTGGGAAGGGAAGTGCCCGTAAATCCTCTTTCAAGCCCATTTGACTGGGGGGGCTTTTTTAATTTAGAAATGACAATGGTATCAGTTCTCCATGAAGAACTAGCACACAAAGTGGAAAAGCTCAAGTACAAGAAGTTTTAGGTCATGCAACCAAGGATTAGAATCAAATAATAATAATAATAAATAATAAATAATAATAATAATAATTATCATTATTATTATTATTACAGAGCTTCTGATAGGTCATGGAAAGAAATGTCAAATTTCACGGGGTATTCAGGGACAGATTTGCTGGAATTTCAAATATTTTTCAAATATGTTACAGATAAGATTTCTGGTGAATTTTGCAGTATTTTGCATGTTTTTGTGAATTTCGCAGAATTTCGAGGATTTACCTGAATTTCACAGCTCCACGACTGCGTGAAATATCAGAAGCCCTATTATAATTATTATAATAATTATTATTATTAGAACACACCATACATACAGAATAATTTCCTCATGCAGATGTTACAATGTACTCCACACAAATCTCCATTTAAGATAAGAACTCCAAACAGTGATTCCAATCCAACTACCACAAAAACTGGACATACATGCACACCAACCAGCCATATATATGCGTTTATCCAATCAATGCACAGAACACAAATCATTTTTCTTCAAGGCTACATTTTATGATATGATTACCTTTTTTTTTTTGTCCTTTTAATCAATTTCACTCAATAAGTCATGTACATGTATCTTACATCTACATTGGTCAACATACAGAACAAAAACAAACCACCTCAACAGTGATATTTGTTGAGTTTGGGGAAAAGGGGGAAATTGCAGGGTGATACCATACCATACCTGATACAGGATGTTTACGCAAACAAAATACAAGATTTTTCAGTAGCTGTTTGCCTCCGGATGATGCAGACTTTTGTTTCTTAATTTCATTCACACCCATTTGCAAATGCCAATAAGACCTTAAGTGCTTCTATGTTACAGCATTTTACAATAATATTATGGATAGAAGACAGAGTAAAATCCACTCCTTGTGTCTACATTGTACATGTACCCAAAAAGGTACAGGTTTACGCCACTCTTGTGGTAAGGGTGACATACAGTCATATAAATGTAAATTTAAATATTCTTTTATAATAATTTATTTATAATTCCTCATGATCACTGGAAAGTCACACAACTTGCTTCTGCAACCATGGTTACTGCAGTGATCAAAAGAGAATTTCTCTGAAAAAATAGCTTAGAAAGAAAACGAAACGCATTCTTGTAGCCTTGTTTATGAACATTATTGTTACTTAAGTCAGTATTATCATGCAAAAATTTGATCCTGGATGTTTCTTTGAAAATATCCTGAACAGTAGTAAAAGAGATATTTTTGTTTATTTAAAAAATAATTTATTGGTAGCACAAAATAAATGTATCCACATCACTGTTTTTGTCCACCATAATAATAATTATCAGCTCTTATCAAACTGGAATGTCAATCAAGAAAAGAAATTCATATTAAAGACAGGAGATATAGAAAGCTTTTCAAGTAACCCCCAAAAATTCCTAGTGATGTGTTTAAACAAATCGGCAAAAAAAATTATTAGAAAATCAAGGAGAGCCTCGTGACTACCACAACAAACGTTTCACCCTCAATCAGGTATTCATAAAGACAAATTCTCTGCTGACATTTTTATAACTAACATGTCATAGTGAAATTTCTCTCCCTTATATTGACAGACAGCCTTAGTACAAGTCTTATTCTTAATACATAAAATTGACATAATTTTTATATTTCTATTCAAGAATTTTATGACTGGCATAATCATTGCAAATGATAAAATTATTGAATCTGTTGTACCGTCAGACAAAGTAAAGATTTTTGTCTGCGTAAACTCATGAGGTGACTGTTACTCAGTACTGAATACTGGGCATTCCCAATGAACTTTACCAAAACCATACCAACAACAGCAACAGCATAGGCTGACCAAAATGGCCACCATAGGGTAAACTTTCTAAAAACCCTGTTTCCATAGCTTTCTTTATTAGTAAATTAAAAAAGTCTACATGTACCGAAGGAATTTCCTTTATTAATTTTATCAAAAGACCATTCCAAGATGAGCACTATGTTAATTTTGATCACCATCCTTGAAATAGTTAACTAGAGTCTTAACGCTAAATAATAACAATAGTACTAATATGACAGAATGTTTTAATCTAAAGTGTATGTATTCAGTGAAAAAATGGGCCATGTAATGATACAAAAAGTGTTGTCCCCTTTCTTTCAATTTAGATTTAATCTTTTCAATTCGTCAAGGTAATAAACAAAAGTTTAACTGTTTTGTTCTAAAATAAATGACATATTACTATTATTACACTCAAATTGTCTGTGTGTTAAACAGCATTAAAGTGATTCTTGCCTTCGAAACCCGGTAAAACAAGGTTAAATTAGCCCGTAAAAAATCCAACACTTATTGCACAGTGCCCTGAAAATGCCACATAATTTCTGATTGTTTATTACACTCATTTGTCACTTATAGAGTACCTTATTATACAATAATCAGCTTGATGTGGCACCCATTTCTACCCTGATAAACTTTCACCACTAACAGATAGAGATGAGAACTAAACACAATCTACTTTATAAAAAATTATTCATCAAATAATCGTGTACCCCACATGGCAGGCTTTCACAAGGAAAGAGGAAGGTAAGTTTAGTGCAAGACTGCACGCAAGAAAAAAGGGAGGAGAAAGGAGGGAGGAACGCCATTGTTTTCACCATCCTGCCCACTAATTATGTAAGCAAAAATAGCACAGCAACATCTAGCTGTCAAAAAAGTCTGGGAGCGATGCACATTCTCTACTTGCATTTCTCACACTGTTTTTCTTTTGCTTTCCTAAAACAAAAATGACCAGCAAAAATGTGGGCATCCAATGAAGGAAGAAAATTGTAATGACGCATGTCGAGTTTGTGAAATGAGTTTAAATTGCAGCAATATAAAACCCAGAAAAAATTTATTTATAATAAACTGTTGCTGACGGATTGGTACTGGACATCTAAGAAATGTATCTTGATTTGATATCAAGAATTTACTGTGCTCATGAATCACAACTTGCACGCAATGTTTGTCTGGGAAAAGTTAAAACACTTTACAAACTCTTTGAATTCCTATCGGAACACCTTGGATCCAGCGGAGCACCTTATGTGTAAAAAAGAACACCAGTAGCATAGAAGAAGAGCAGAACTTCAAGGACCTGCAAGAAGGCCGCCATTAAAGTAAGTTCCTGGTGCTTTTATTTCCAGCGAGAAGAAGTCCTCATTGATGGAAAATCACTAAGGATGACACAATTGCTTTGTCTTTAACAATCTTCTCATTAATAATAATGGTCAAACAGGAGATACAGACTGGCACACAGGCAGCATGATATTTCTTTCCTCTATCAAGTAAAACAAGTAGTTGGAAGATGATACTTCCCAAAACCAGTCAGAAAAACCCATCTGTGACAGGTTTTTTCCTTCATATGGTTGTTTAACTGCTTTCTCCTGTCAAACTGAACTTGATGCCTTCAGTTTCTTATTCTAAGTTGATAAATTTTGTAAAACAAACTTGAAATCTCTTCCCACTTCACTTGCCATATCCAATGATTACTGAAAGATTGATCAAGTTTAATACTCAAGTAGCACAATGTTGACTTCAACCAATCGGAATAAGGACTATTACTTAAGGCTTTTATTGACCTGTTTGGAATTCAGACCAGTCAGGATTTTTACATCTCTCGGGTGAATGTGAAAAATGAAAAAGACAATAGTGTTCTTGCAGGTGTTTCCTTCCCTCCCCCTTATGTGCCTTTTGCAATTCCCGTGCGCCATGAATTTCCTTCCCCTTTTCTTTCAAACACCTGCCATGCAGGCTTATAATTGTGTGAAAAAATGTGTTAAGTGGAATATGGGTATTATGTGCAAAGTGAATAAAATAGTAAGCAAGTCTAGTCTACCACTTCAGTTATATGTCAGCATTGGGTAAGAAGCTGTGGACACAAAGCCCGTACAGACTATATAACACAGACCACCATTTTGAAGTACTCACTTACTTCTGGTTTGACTGACTAAATTGGTGAATTTGTTGAAAATACAGGGCTAAAAATAATTTTGGACCGTGGCCGGTCATGTTGACTGGCCAAACAAGTGTCAGCGCAGTCATCACTTGTTTCTGACCGGTCAAAATGTTTAAGATTTTTATTTTAAGTAATAGCCAATTAAGACAAAAATATTGCCTCACATGCTCAAAAACGTGTTGCCTTGCAAAAAGGGAAAATTCAAAGAGCCATTGTTCACCTAACATGTAAACAATTTTACAATGCATTCTTTGTCATGACTTTGTAGATGATAAACCACCACAATGAACAGAGAATTGTCTTTCGTTTTTCCTTTATGGCATTCACAGGGCTGAAGAACATGACCATATCATCTGTATTCTCCAAATTTATGGCAGCAAGCAGCTAAAATATTTAATTGCATAATGTATTTATTTCAATCTACTCTTTAGTCTAGTTAATTTAATTATTTTACTTCATTAATATTGCTCTAGAAGACCAGACTGGAAAAAAATACTCTTTACAAAATATTACCACAATACAAGATTACCAACATCAATCAACATTCGCCACATTCAACAAATTAAGATCAAATGACAAGTTAATGATTAATCTGAAAATTATATCCATTGCACTTCCCTGTTTAGGGAGAGAGGACTATTGTAAAGTCGTACAAAATCAAAGCATTATATCAGAGATAAAAACAATACTTTGAACGGAAAAGAGATTATGTGGCTTCGTTTCGACACCACGTCGCTTTTGCTGGCTGTCAAACAAAATTATTTGCCAATATCAATGAAGGCTCCTGCCCCGGAGCTTTCAGAGAGCCAGTTAGTCATATAACTT